TTCAGCCATTGGTAGAAGTAAGCAATGGCTACAAGTCTTGTAATATTACAATGATGACAATATGATGTGTTTCCTGATGCTTCATGCCAATGTCTCTTACCACACCCACTTACCCAGGAGTTAGTGACAAACCTAATGAGTGAAGCAAAGTTTGATATGAGTATATGGTTATCCTGATGTCCTCTAGACTCCACAAGCGTGTTCGAGTCTGGATCAGATCTGGTTGTAGATGTAGGTAGGAAAGATCTGCCTCCTTTTGGAAGCAGTCCTAGGACATGTACCTTCAAGCTGACTTGCCCCCATTGTGGTACTTCTAAGCTTTCCGCCATCTTTCTAAATTCCTGGAACAGCCTAAGGCCCACCTGAGAACATGAGTGCAGGCTTGAACATATTCAGAATCTAGATGTGAACTGGGGCTGTGTCACACCATGAGCCTGCACACATATGCCTGAAACTGAGAAAAAACAGTGCTGACATTTAGGTGGCAAGAAAAAGGAGGAAGAATGGGCTACAATGAAGAGCCCCAGAGCCCATGCCCCTTGGCCATGATGGGTGCTATAACTTGGGTGAAACACAGTTTACACTTCATCATTGTCTGAAAACTGCCAAATTCATGAGGCAAGAAGGTGTCTCATTTTCCTTTATCAGAGAAATAGAATGCTGGGATGACCTATTTGATTGACATGCATGTCTTCCTTGTGGATGGCACTTCCTATACAAATGAGCGGCTTAAGAAGAAACATTTAAGACCTTTGGTTGCTCATGGGTCGTGAACATTCAAGGAAGTCCTGGGATCAGGTGATGTCCACTGGATGTAGATTCAATGTGTAGAGGGCCAACTGCGTGCTTTTTTGAAAATTATTAGAATTAAACGCACTTAACAATTTTATGTATTTGTCAATAAACTATTTAACTGTGAGCTGAAGTCACCATGTCATTGCCCAGTTGTTGCATTTTGTGTATGCAATTATAACAGATTTACTGAGGCTCTGGAGTGTTAGTTCTAAGAGTGTGTGTTCATGATCCTGGTGCACCTATCAGATTTTGTAAGCAAACTCTAAACCCCTACTATAAATAGAGACAAGACTCTTGTGCTTGGATGTAGGTAGGGGGATGGAGGGGGTGAGCTACAAAGAGGGACAAATGCTGGTTCTTTCTCTGGGAGCTTCCATGTGATTAAAGGCAGATGGCTCTACAGTCAAATAAACAACAGGAAGCGGATTTTAATAAGTGCCATAATAAGGGTCTGCACAGGGCTGTGGACATGAGAAGAAAGGTAATTCATGTTGAGGGTGAGTTTAGATATCAGATTTTAAAAGATAATGTAGTTGTAGACACTTCAGCTATTTAAAATCTGACTTTCTTCTAGAGTGCAGGTGTTGAGACAAAGCAGATATTTTTAAATGGGAAGGAAATGTTGAAGGTGGGATGGGTGTTGACTGTGCAGAGTCTTACTCTATCATACACAGGATACAAGAGAGAGTGTGAGGTAGACATTGCAGAGAGTTATACCCAGCTCCCAGCCCAGGCGCAGGGCTGCAGTCATCAGTCTATAAGGTCACTGGTGAGGATTCACTTTTCCACATGGGGAACAGACCTCCACAGTGGAGACCTCCACTCCTTCAAAGACTGGGAGGCATTTCTGAGGCAAAACCACTAGTTCACAAGAGGTTCTTTGGGAATGAAAGCCACTTTTTCTTTTCAGATAGTTCAGAAGCTGGGGATTGAGGGTTAGGCTATGGCAGTGGCACCCTCCTCACTCACAAATTGAGTTTTGAGGATGATGTCTGTATTTTAAAAGCATTATAAAAGCAATGCATGTTTGTGGTAAAAATTCAAATAGCAGAAGAGTGAAACAGTGTTCTTCACGTGTCCTCTCCTCTGGGAACCACTGGTAAGTGTCGTTTTCCTAGTTTTTGGCTTATTATACCTTTTTAATGTCAAAATTGTCTGTAGCCTCTCAACTAATAGCTCTTATACATTTATTGTCTAATGACAAATGTGTGCCTATGGAGTCTGAGGACACTAATGAGAGCTACTGTCACTCCCTGGCCCAGAGCTTTGGGTCACCAGGACTTAAAATGCAAACCCTGCAAACCATTGTACTAGACACACTAGGTTTCCTCCCAGCTCTAAGAATCACTGTTTTCATCAGTGTTGATTAGGTTGAGAGAGGAGAGACTCAAATTATTTAGTTATTTGTTCATGTCAGACGTCCCTCGAATTTCTGCTATTATTTTTAATTCTGTTTTTAAAATATGGAGCAGAAATCTGATTGATCCAAGTTTTTGGTTAAGGGGCAACTCCATGTGAAGGATAGAACACTAGGTTTGGAGTGAGACTTTATCAGTTTAACTCTCAGCCCTATCATTGGTTATTTGGTCTTACTTGGTAAAATCCTTAAGCTTTCTGAGCATCTGTATATCAGTAATAAAGCACAGAGAGTAACACATGGCCTGTTCACCTCACAGTGAAAGCCTATGAGTTAATGATGTGAAATTGACTTGTAAACTGCAAATGACCACGTGGCCCGCATATCACCCGTGTGGCTCTGAGGAAGAATAACCAGTGAGGGATGGTGAGCAATATCAAGGCAGGTTAAAGGTTGTGATGTGGACTCCCAACAAGGGAATCCTGGATTTCAACTCTTTTCTTTATCTTAACACAGTCCACAGGTGGCTCAGCCATTCTTCTTTGCCACTCTTACACTATTATTCTGACCACTCCTATATGAGATCTACAGGCAATGATAGGCATTGTCTCAGTTTTACAGCTGAGGAAACTGAGGCTTAGAGAGGCTGAGTGAATTTCCCTAGGCCATCCAGCTAGTAGATGGCAGTGCTCTGAACTGTAAGTGACTATATACATTTACCAGGAAATGCTGCCCTCCAGGTACCATATAGATTGACCAAAGGGATGCACTGGCAGAAGATGGGAGGGCAGGAATTGGTGAAAAGCCAGGATAATTCTCTTCCCATACTTTAGGAGGCATCTCCTCTGTGCTCTCAATTCCTACAAGAAAACCCCTTCAACTGTGATCCCATCTTCTGCCAGGCAGGTCTGCCAAGACTCCAGCTTCTGTTGGGTGGTCCATATCCTAGGCTTTAGGAACGTTGCCTACTTTTTCCCTTTCTCCCTATAGGACTATAGATAGTAATGTCTTTCTGCTATGGCAAATTCTGAGGTGACTAACCATATATTTTGGCTTCTCAGCTCTCCTATCACCAATGTAAACAAATGCTTATATTGGGTTCCCCCTTTGAGGATGCTTAAATTTATTTCAGTTTCACTTGTCTTTAAAGTCTGTTCTCTAAATCATAACGATATTAAATTTTCTTTCATTCTTCTACTTGTGGTGACATTCTCGTATTATCACCAGCTAGAGCAATACTTTGCTAAAAGTGCCCTCCTGTGTATTTTACCAAGAACATAAGATTTATCATAGAGAGGAGTCTTTGAGATGATGGTATAGAGTTGCCAGTAGCTGCCATCTTGTTATGGCCCCTTGTTTACACATTCTCACAAGTGTGTACACGTCAACTACAGGTGTGTAAGTGAAGCAGTTTCTAGTATTCCAATTTATCACTGTGATTTTAGCTTACTTGTTTCTCTCCAAAAGAATGTAAACAAGGAAACAGGAGAAACAACCTTTCCCCAACCATAACCACAGAGGATCTTTTCTTCTGGAAGGCTGGCAAACTACAGGCCTTTAGTCTGGGACTGTCTATGGAAGTATTTTGTTTTGTCAGTTTACTAAGCCTCCATGGAGGTTTAACAATCAGCTAAAGCATTTTGTCTCATTTGCCTGCTTTCTGCATTTATGGGTGAGCATGTCTCTGGAAGGCCTCTGAACTTTGCTTCCTCCTTTAGCAGATATTGAGTGCCTTGCAAATCAAGTCAGAGAGCCTTCTCAATGTAGGGAAGAAAACTAGAGGAAACATAATGTAAGTGAGTTGTCTGCGTCCTCTGAACTAACTGGGCGTGGACAAATAATTAACCATCTTTAGGCAGCAAGTTTTCTTGGCAATTGTGCATCTTCCAGGCATGAGCAATCATTTCTGACCCTTTAGCTTCCTGTAAATACCCTTGACTTGTAAACATTTTATTTGTTAGTGTGCTCTATCCAGTATACAAAACAAAAAAAGAAAAATAAAAAAGAGGAAATGCAAAGAAAGGAACAGGAATTGGACCTGAGGGATACCTGGCTCAGCAGGAGTCAAAGGACTCATGAGCTGGCTGATCTGGTGGAGCACACACAGTCAGAAACACAACCGTTCTTACCAGGAGCCACAGCACAAAGGTGGGGTTGCACAGAGAAACTTTAGAAGCAAGGCATAGTCTAGTCTGGTCAATGTCTAGTGAACGATCATGAAGACAAGTTTGCATTTGATTTGGTAGACAAATGAGGACCCTGCCATGAATTCTTGAAAAACTAGATCTAAATGTAAATGATCTAACATGCTGTCCCCACCGACATTTCCTTCAATACAGACTGAGGAGAAAGGATGAGAAAGTTGTACAGAAGATTGGGCCAATGAACCTAGTGGTCAGTTTCTCATAAATCTTTGTGGTAAAGACCATTTACTTAATTTACCAGCAAGAGATGTCAATCAACAACTCTGGAAGTTTGACCACACGGGGAGACAGGCTGTTGATGCCCATTGACATTCACTGGGTCACAGCCACTATCTCCTACTCCTCTGAATCTCAGCAGCAAAGCCGTTCTCAGAGGAATGAATGAGACAGTCAAGAGGGAAGAAGCTCTCAGAAGAGGCATTTTCTCTGCCCAGGGCCTGGGCCAAAATTATAATTCAAACCCTGTAGGGGAGGGTGATGGGCATGTCTTTTCATGGGTCTCACATTGAGAGTCATTGATCTCTATATCGTGCAAATACTAAAATCTACCTACATCACCATTTCAAGTCCTCATTTCTTTACATGCAAAATAAATTAATTTGAAAAAATGATGCTTATGATCCTCTTTGGCTAAATCAACATGGCTGCTTTTCAAGGTTCTCCACACCCACCATGCCCTACCTTCATACAGTCATTCTCCAGTCTCCTAAAAGTAGACCACATTAATCCAACCAGACTCATTGACGCCCAGTCATTGTTAGTGATGATGGATGATCCCTGATAATTTTATCCATGGGTCTAGCAGGTACAGAGATGCGTCTTAGCTTTGTGAAAGGGAGAATAAATTGACAAAGTGATTCCATGTCCATATTCTGCACCAGCTCTACACAGAAAGCCCTTCCCATTCCCTACTCAAGTCACAAGTTCAAATCGTCCTCTTTTGATAAGATACTATTACTCACCCTCTTTCTCTGTTATGCTCTCTCTCTCCACTGGTGACTTCATTATGGTCTACAATCACAATTCCATTTTTTTTTTAGGTTATTTATTTTTTTCTCCCCAAAGCCCAGTACATTGTTGTGTATTCTAGATGAAGGTCAGTCTAGTTCGTCTATGTGTAATGCCACCTCAGCACAGCTTGATGAGCGGTGAATAGGTCCATGCTCAGGAACTGAATTTGCGAACCCTGGGCTGTTGACATGGAATGCACAAACTAAACTGCTACGCCACCAGCACGGCCCCTTGCATTTAATTCTTTATTTAAAAATAACCTGTTCTTTGCCCTACTTTTCCTCTCAAACCATTTCCCATTCACGTCTTTCATTCATTATCAAATTTCTCCTATTCTCTCAATCCATTACTCCTCAACTTGTTGCTTCCTGTCATCTGTCTAAAGAAATTCCTCACTCTCCAAGTTTAGCAATGACTTCTACGTGTCTAATGCAATGGCCTCTTTGTCCATAATCTTCTTTTTTTTTTTTTTTTAAGATTTTATTTTTCCCCCCAAAGCCCCAGTGGATAGTTGTATGTCGTAGCTGCACATCTTTCTAGTTGCTGTATGCGGGACTCGGCCTCAGGATGAACGGAGAAGTGGTGCCTCGATGCGCACCCGGGATCCGAACCCGGGCCACCAGCATCACAGCGCGCGCACTTAACCACCAAGCCACAGGGCCAGCCCTGTCCATAATCTTCTGACATGAACTCTGTGCCACGTGTGACTTGAGGAGTCATTTTCAGTCTTGCAACCTGTCCCTCTACTTGAACTGATCATCCAGAAAACTTTGTGGATGTCTGCTCCATATTAGAACCTTAGGACCTGATGCTGTAAAGGGTACAGATATGAACACTGTGTAGACTCTGGGCTCTGTGCCCTTCACTATTCACAGTCTAATGGTGGAAAAGACACAGACACGGACATGGTAACGCATAATATCAAAGATACACACTTTCCATTTTGTCCTCCTATCCTTCTGACCATTCCCTTTGATTCGTCCTGGAATTTTTTGTCCTTCTCCTTTTCCCTAAGCCCCTAAAAGGAGACATCTTAAGAATCTAAGATTATCATGGCAGTGATAATAATGACGATGATCATCATGACTGCTGACGTTTGTTGAGCACATGCCATGTGCCAGACACTGAGAACAATTTAAAATTGTTTACATACAAATTGTATAAGCAATTTATATGCGTTTACTTCACTTGAATTATGAATAATTCAATAAGGTTGATACAATTACCTGCATTTCACAGATGAGGAAACCACGACCTAGAGAGACTGGATAACATGTATCATGGTCTTAATAATGTGCTTAATTCTTGCTCCTGATCCTCTTATTCCCACACACAGTCCTTGAGATGTGGGTTATCTATGCACCTATGCAGATGATTTCCATTTTTATCATTAATCTGAACCACTTTTCCAATCTCCCTTACTGATCTTTACATCCATTTAGAGATCACTACTATTTTGATCATATCTAGCACCTTACCTCACCTCAGCTTGTAATCAAGTCTTTCATTTTTTGTAAATATCCCCTTCATTTTTTAATTGCTTGGTAATAGAAGCTGGAAACTAACATCTTTATGAATCTTCACATTTATTAATTGATTGAATGCAATCACTCACTACATCCAGCCAATTCTTTCTACACAATGGTTTGCACAATCTACAGAGCCCAACCCAAATACCAGCTCCTGATGATCCTGATCAGCCTGTTGAAAGTGACTCCTCCCAATTCTACATTTGTGCAGAGCATTTATTCTATCACACTTGGAACTATTGCCAAACTCCATAGTGAATATCATATACTATCACTGTTTGTGAACATTTCTTATCACCTTTAATAGATGGTATCTTTTCATTTACATACCTGTGTTAATGAGAAAGTAGATACTCTAGTCCTATTGCTTGAAAATAGATACTCAAGTCCTATATTGCTTTAATCCTTTGAATAATTGGAGATATTTTTAATCTAGGAAATTTAGTAACAAATATCATAAAGGAGAAATAATCCTGGAAGACTTAGGAAACAGAGAGAACATAGCAGGTAATGCAGGCAACAAAGGATTTACAAAGGAGCACAATCTAAACAAATTTGTGTTTTAGCAGAAAATTCACAGCGAATATAATATGGAGGATGGATTAGAGGATTATGAAGTTCAAGGCCATGAGACTAAGAGCTGAGCTAAGAGATTAAGGGCTGTTACCTTCTCAAAGACAATGAGATAAAGACAGACTTGAGAGCTAGGGCTACCAAGAAGGTAGAATCAAAAATTGATATGATTGAGCAGGAGAGAAGGAATGAAGAGTGAGAGAAAGTAGGCTAGCAATACTGTCAGTGTTCAGTTCAGGCAGGGGACAGGGTAAATGGTGGTGCCATTAATGAGGAGAATTAAGGTGATGTCATCCAGCAGGATCTGAAGGGAGACATGCTCTGGAGAGAGAGCCAGCCTGAAGATATGACAGCTTTTAACAGGATCCTTTATGGCATCTTTTAACAGGAAATGGGAAACCATGAAAAGTTTTTCACATGACGGCTGGCATCTACTGAGCTGTATTGATAGACATAGCACTGTAATCGATGCTTTAACGCATTTCTGTGACAAAAAGATAAGGGGTCAGTATTATAATCTGAAAATTGAAGGAAATTGAAGCTAAGAGAAATGACATAACCTGGTAAACTTCAAGTTTGCAGTCCAGGTCCATCAGGCTCACAGATTATGCTAAATATATGCTTTGCTAATTGAGGTCATTATAACTATGTTTTATATTCATCTTTTTGTCAAAAGATTTGGGAGCAGGTTTCCCAATGGCAAGGAGAATGACCATATGTGGTGGAGAATGAATAGAAGAGGACTCAGGGAACTGAAGCCATACATGATCCACGTGTCCCAGACCAAAGAGCTCCTACTGTTTTGAGAATTCTCAGATAATTGTCTTATGGAAGTGCCTACCATGACATTTATGATGTCAGTGCACCAAAAGAAATTCAATCAAATGATGAATTTGGCATCTCTGATTCAATCTCCTCTTTGATAGTTTTAAAAATATTTTATATTGTATACATCAGAAACCAGAAAACCTTTTCTGTAAAGGGCTGGACAATAAGCATTTTTAGGCTTTAGTGGTCGTACAGTTTCTGTTGTAACTACTCAACTCTGTGGGTATAATCCAAAAGCAATCATAAACAATATGTCAACAATGGGCACAGCATTGTTCCAATAAACTTTGTTTACAAAAACAGGGAGCAGCTGGATTTAGCCAGTGGGCCATGGTTGCTGACCCCGGGCATACAGTCATAAGACAGTGAGTGTGCAGGTGCCTCTAAGATGGCCTCTGACGACCCCTCCCTACTAGTATTCATGCTCTTGTGTAACCATCTCCTTTTGCCTGTGGACTGGTCTCATTGACTCTTTTCTCACAAATCGAATGTGACACAAGTGATGGATGGCACTTTTGAGATTAGGTTATAAAAACACCGTGTATTCCATTTTGGGTGCCCTCTCGCTCTCCAATTGCTGACTCTGAGGGAAGCCAGCTGCCATATTTTGAGCTGCCCTGTTGTCCTGGTAGCAAAGAACTGAGGGAGACTTTTGGCTAACAGCCAGTGAGGATCTGAGACTCTTGATCTAATGGCCTGCAAGGAGAAACTTCTATGCACAACTCCATGAATGAGCTCGGAAAATGGGTCCTTCCATGTTGAGCTTTCAGAGGACACTGTAGCCCTGGTTGATAGGTTGAATGCAATTACATGAATGTCTTGATCCAGAAGCTCCCAGCGAAGCCAAGTGTGGTACTCACAACCCACAGAAACTGTATGATAATCAGTGTTTGCTGTTTTCAGCCACTAAGTTTTGGGATCATTTGTTATGCACCTATAGATATCTACTATAGCAAGGTATATTACAAACAATAGTCTTCAAGAGATTTGGAGACCCATGTTCCAGTCCCTGTGTCTTGACAAATTTACTGTGTGAATTTAGGTTAGCTGCTGACCTATTTTTGGCTCTTCACTTCCTCTCTGCCTGCCAAAAAGACAAGATCATGAATTTCCAAATTATTACAGGTCTAAATACGTATAGTTCATTGAATTGAATCAAACTGACTCCTGCATCTAAACCAGAGTCATGAATTGGAAACCAATGGGTAAAATACAGCCCAACAATTTATTTTTGCCTTAATTCCCAACATTTAAAGGACTAAAGTTCTCCACTAAAATCCAGATTTCTGGCTTCTTCAGAAAAATTTAATAATTTAACTACTGGGATCCACATTCCTACATGGTGCCGTCTAAGTGTATCCAAAGATCTCTTGTCCCTTTACACTGGCTGTTAGCCCCCTAATGCACTACAGCACTCCCACTCACTGTCTATCTCTGACCTGTCTCACTACTTCATAAGGCTTGGTGCTGATGGGCTTTAGGGGGCCACTTGAATGATGCTTGATCTTGCTTTGAGATTTCCCCTAAAACAAAGGAAAAGTGTCCTCTTACCTTCTGGTTTTGACTTGAGTGCAGGACATTGGCCAGTTTTGGGCTCCATCTGCCCTTGAATTGGCAGCTGTGTCATAAGTTTTGCTCCACAAACCTCAGGGAAAACCCAAGTGAGAGCCTGGGCAGGACATACATGTGGTTTGCCACAGCTCCTATGTTCTTCTCCCTCCTGCAGCACATCTAGAAGACTTCTCATCCCACGCACCAGATTTACAGGAGAACACTCATACACATGCACACACACACACACACACACACACACACACACAGAATTACATAATTCACCCTAGCTCAGATAGAACTTACATTTGTCTTATATTCCCTCTTCTCCTGATATATAAGAGCCCTGGAAAACTCCCCCTTTTTCCACCTCCTGCAGGTCATCACTGCCCCTCTCACCTGATACCATCACCCTCTACCCCAATCCCCATGAATCCTTTCCTCTTTCTCATTCTTTCTCTTTCCTCTTCCTTCCTCTTCACACCCCCCACATTTGCAGTCACATTGGACACATTTTTCTGTTTATTTACGTTATTGGCTTTTGTATTTTAATTCTTTTGATTGCTGAAAGTTACCAGTTCATGAAAAATATGACCTCTGTAATATACGCATATATGTGTAAGAAGTGCATATATGTTCATATCTACTTATTACCATGACTTAAAGTTTATTTTGCATGGAGGGTACATTTGTGTTTTCTTATAAACATTCACAAGACATGAATGTTTTAGGACACACTCTGGCTTGATACCAAATATCAGCTTTAGTGCACTAGGTGTGAACACATACACAAGACTTGCAACAGCTGCTCAGAGCTGCACACTCAGCCAAGGAATTTATCTAACTGACAACAACCTATAAAAATTGGGGGAAAATTCAATAAAACATCTAAATGTTTTCAAATATGATACATATTTCAGAAAAATCATTTTGATTATAGCCTTGATTTTAATTCTCCTGGAGGTTAATATTTTTAGACCACCTGCCTGTCATGTCCATGTCGTTATGAACATCACGGCTCACTGAGCAAGAGAGAGCCTGACATGGCTATGATGGGGCACACTGCTTTCCAAAGAGGTGAGATTTATCTCTGTCCAGTTGGTCCCTGTAGCCTCTCCAGAACTGAATTTTCTTCAAGACCATGGTGTTCAATTTCACAGGCTGCCTTGCTCAGTTCCCAGAAGTTTCTAATACAGGTCTCACTTCATGGACTCTTTTAATATGTGCCTCTACCATGGGAGACATGGCAGCTCCAGGTATCAACCTGCAGACTCGCTGTAAAACCACATCCATTTGCTCAGCAAACAAAAACCATAATGTGTCAACAAACATTTTTCTTCATTTCAGTCTCTCGTGTGTGGTCTGTCTCTTTCTATCACCACCCCCTCACACCTGTATGTGTCCAATCTCTCTCCCCTGGCAGATCCAACTCAGTCCTTCTCTCTGCCTTGCTCTTGCTTTATCTATGCCTCTATTTCTATCCCTGTGTTGTTGTATCTGTCATTAGAGTAAACTGAGTAGACCGAGGCTGTTAAGGAGCATAGTCAGGATTACAAATCCAAACCACCAGATTCCAGACCTTTCCTTCTTGCTGACTCATGTGTCTACTCTTGGGCACCACTGTACACCCTAGGCTATTCGCCCTTAATCTCCATTTTCCTTCTTGGGAATATTCCAGAATCAGAAAAACGATGAGCTGTAAACTGAGTGACAACCACTGAGGTGTGTGTGTTCTACTCAGAAGAGCATGGAGACATCCTCATTGATGACATGCCTCACTGATCAAGAAGCTATTTGGTATGGAGAAATGTATAACTTTAAGTGTTTGCTCCTCTTTTCTCATGAACATTGTGCTTATCTCTCAAGATCCTAGAAGTCTAAAGATGTTCTCTTCTATCTGGACCCCGGTAAATGGGTCTGCCACAGCAGAGAAGGTTGCAGAGAAGGTTATGGGAGGTGGTGGCCCAGAAAGAGTGTCTGCCTCAGTGAGTAGCTAGATGTGATCAACACTAGAATGCAAAGGCTCCTTTGGCCAGTGGCCCTGCAGGGCAAAATTTGCTGCAGGAGGCAATTTTACTCTAATGCCCCTTCTGTAGATCCTCTGCATTTTCCATTATTACCTAGGATGGGGTGTCTCAGATTTGAAGAAGTAAAGATATACCAGGAAAGATGCCTTTTGGTTCCAAGTTTCATGCTAACTAACAAAAAAGAATTGGAAAAAATAAAAGCAAAGATAGCTGATCTTTTAAAACATAGATGTGATAGAAATTAAGACAGGTAAGGAAGAGAGATAGAGAAAGGAAGAAATGGACAAGAAAAGGAATGTTCCTTAGAGACACACTGTATTCATGCCAGTCATGGCAAAAGGTAAACTAGCAAAAGTTAAGCTGCCATTCCTAAATCCCATACTATAGAGCTGAGATGCTGTGACAAAAACTCCCCATAATTAAATGCATTTAGTTCTCCAATGTCAGAGCCTTTAATAAAGTAAGTCCTACCCGTAATTTAGTGAAATTCAGAGCAGCTCTTTTGGCTTGGAACGCCCCTTTTATGTATATTTTACAGATGCAGAAATTGAGCCTCACGTCGGCTAAGCAGCTTCTCAAGGTCATTCAGAGAAGCAGCAGTGAAGCCAGAATTGAGCCCAACTCTATCTTGGCACAGTGGGAGGAGATGTCCTTCCCATGTCAGAACTCTCATCACTCTCTCCGCTTCCTGGGAACCTCCAATGATTCCAATTGGCTTCTCCCCAAAATTAAAGTCCAAGACTGGACCCATCTCAGGTTCCAGGGAGCTGAGGAAAGGGCTTTGCAAAACCCACAATTAGCACAAATTTGTGCCAGATGCTGGCCGTACCCCTTGTGATGCTCAGAGTTTTCAGACTAGCTCTGCACGTTTCTGGTCTGTTTTGCAATAAGCCTGTGCGATTAGATTCTGTGCCAAGTATAGGGGGAGTTATGTTCTACGGGGAGCCATTCATTCCACAGGCTCTGATGTACACATTGGAAACTGACCCAGGTGTCCTTTTCAGATCACTCATCCTTGTTATATATTTACAACACAGTACAAGTTTATATAACATAAATTTATTTAATATAACCAAATGAAATGTGACTATTAATGTTAACCTATTATTGTGCAATACATACACACACACACACACACACACACACGAGTTACCTTAACCTCTAGATGGGTTTCTGTAATGATCCATTAGAAGCCTCGTAGGCATGGATGTCCTTTCCCTTTCCAGAGACTTTCTCATTCTGGGCCACCACTGTGAATTGGATCCAATACAAGGACACTTGCCAGAGTGAAGTTTAATACTTCCACCCTGAGATAGCCTTACAATATTAGGAGGGCTGAGGGAATATAGAACTCCGCAGTGGGAGCCACAGTTCACGAGCTCTGAAATATTGGGATATTTATAAGTATGCACTTATATACTGATGCTAGATATAACTATCGCACTTGCTAGCACTAATCCATCTGGCTTTGGTTTTACATATATGTTAATTAGACACTTTTATATGCTGACATTAACTGCAATTTGTGTCCATCTGAAACTTTCATTACTGAAACCTAAATTAGTCAACTCTAAAATGTTGATTCTGATACGATGTCTGTCTCTAACTTGAAGCTGGCTACTCTTATGGTTGGTACTGATAAAGTATTAAGACCAGAACCCATATTCTCTGTAGAATGAAACAAGAAATCTTGGAGAGTAACTCTCAACAATCACCCCTTCCTGCTGTTCAACATTTGATGGAACGTGGAGGAGAAATCAGATTGAGCCTTTCTAAGGAATCTTTTTACTACCCACTACAGTAAGATTTTTTGTGTCTATGTATTTATTCTTTTTTAATTCAGTCTCGGGGCATCTCTCCAATCTCAGGTCATGTTCTTCTCTCACCAGAAAGGACATTGAGAGAGCACTGAGGAGGTTATTGACTCTGGAGATGTTTATGGGAAGAAGTTGATTATTACTTCAACATATTTTGATAAAAGAACAATAGCTTCTGTTTCCCAAATCCTGTACACAGCCTAATCCAAAATGCTGGAAGACAAAACTATTCTGCCTGGTCTTTCATCCTCTATGACAAAAAGAGAGAAAAATTAGAGAGAAAATATTTCCCCTGCCGTCTCATCTACTAGCAGCATAAGGCACTAGGACAGCTCATAAAGAAATCTTCACTGACTAGTTACATGACTGTACCTTGTAATTAGACGTAACTGAGAAGAAAATTAATCCAGGTGGCTCCTTCTCTAGTACAGCTTGGGGTGCATTTTTTGATGAGAAATGACTTCAGCTTAAAGGGAGATTCAGAAATCTTGTCATAAATAAAAAGCACGTGTTTCTCTCTGCAGGAAGTCTTTGAAATGCTGTTTGACACTCAGCCATGTGGGAAGAGTAAAGAAAAATGATTAAGACTGAAGACGTAGACTTTCCAGAGCAACGGGAACAGCCTGGCTTTGTGTTCTTATTATTCTGGCCTCTTCAGTATAAAGACATTTCAGTAAAAATAAATGACTGTCTTTTATCTGTTTGTCAAGTGTTTCACTTTGAAGGGAAATATGAGTAGCTAACCTTGGCGGTCCCCGAGTCATAATTTATTTTCTTTTGTAAATTTTTGTTGAGGAAATTGTCATAAAGCTGTCTGATGTTTATATTAAAAGGGGACTAGAAGAAGCTATAATCACAAACCTCTAACTTGCTCTAGGGCAGACAGCCCGAAACAAACTGTAGAGATAGATATAGATAGATAGATAGATAGATGATAGATAGATAGATAGATAGATAGATAGATAGATAGATAGATGGATATATAGATAGATGGATAGATTAGATAGATAGATAGAGAGAAAGAGAGAGATACAGATAGATGATAGATAGAAAGAAAGCTGGAAAGAAGGGAAGATGGGAAGATGGATTCATTGATGGATTAGATAGATAGATAGGTAGATAGGTAGGTAGATAGATAGATAGATAGATAGATACATAGATAGATAGATACATAGATACATAGATACATAGATACATATTTACATAGATACATGATTAGATGGATAGATACATGATGATGGAGAGGTAAAACAATGAACATGTATCTATATGGATATTTATAGTAATGGTAAACGGATAGGGAGTGAATTTATTGATCAATGACTTTCATGTTTCACACACCTGTCTTAATCAATCATATTTACTCCATGCCTTTACTTGGAGACAGTCAAATACTCCCTATGGATTTGTCCACTATCCATAAGTCTGGATTTAATTTTCTGATGGTCACAGGGATTGTAAATGTCTCTATAATTGTCAGTAGCTCCATGGACATGGATCCTGGTCCCAAGTTGATTTCTACTGTTTTCCTAAGAACTGACTAACTGCCAAGTTACCTTCTGACTCTAAGCTCTCATGCTGCCTGTAAGGATTCCCTGTCATATTCCCTCAGCTTAAGATCCAGCCGTGGTTCCCTGCTGGGTCAGAAATCTTGCCTTACCTCCCTCTTAATTCCTCAGTATTAGTGTAATTCGTCCTATTGGAATCAATGACCCTTTTTATGACAGTGTTTCTATTTTGAGAAAATTTTAAGGTCACATACAGCTGTAAAAATTAATTCAGAGACACCACCTATACCTTTCACCCAACTTTCCCCAATAACAACATCTTGCAAAGCTATAGTGCGATATTGACATTGATACAGAATATTGCCATCACCACAAAGACCCCATATGTTGTCCTTTTAGAGCCACACTCTCCTCCTTCTAGCCCCCACCTCCTCCTTAACTTCTGGTACTAGTAATTTGTTCTCTATTTTTACAATATTATATTTTCAAGAATGTCATATAAATGGAATAATATAGTTTGTAAGTTTTGGGGATTGTCTTTTTACTCAGCATAATTCCCTGGCGATTCTTCGAGGTTGTTGCATAAATCACTAATTCTTTCCTTTTTATTGCTGAATAGTATTCCATGGTATAGTTATACCACTGGTTTTCCTTTAACTGTTCACTCAAGGAAAGTGATCTGGGTTGTTTCCAGTTTGGTGCTATTACAAATAAAGCTATTATAAACATTTCTGCTTTTAGATTTTTGAGAAAATCTAACTTTTCTTTATTCTGAAATGAATGTCCTCAAGCAAAATTCCTGGACCATACAGTAGTTACAAGTTTAGTTTTTATAAGAGAGCACCAAATTGTTTTCCAGTGTGGCTGTACCATTTCACATTCCCACCAACAGTAGAAGAGTGATCTAACTCATCCACATTCTAGTCAGCATTGGTTAAAAATAGTTGTCACTATTTTTTATTTTTGCCCTTCTGGTAAGTGTGTATTGACAGCTCATTGTCACTCTAATTTGCACTTCTCTAAAAGCTAATGATGTTTAACATCTTTTCATGTGTTCATTTCCTGTTTTTACATCTCCTTCAGTGAAATGTCTGCCTCATGCTCCTTGTCTAATTGAATAGGTTTTTTGTTTTTACTGTTAAACTTTGAGAATCCTTAACATATTCTTGAAGTTAGCCATTTGTTTGGTATGTGGTTTCCAAATGTTTCTTCCCAGTCCACAGTTTTCCTTTTTAATCTCTTAACAGGATTTTTTTTTTTTGATGCTGCCATTTTTCATTCATTTATTTATTTATTTTTTCTTTTTTTTTTTAATTTTTTGTTTATTGCAGTAACATTGGTTTATAACATTGTAAAAATTTCAGGTGTACATCATTGTACTTCTATTTCTGCCCCTTAACATAAGTTTTTAAAAAACAGATATCAAGAATGAG